TGGTGGACATAGAACAGACTTCAGTTAGTTTTCAAAACCTTTATATCTGTTGATAGTAATTTATGTGATGAAATTGCCAGCCTCAGCAGTGGAATCTTATTATCCCCTTCAGGGATGAGTGTCCATTGGGCATGTGGTGAAGTTCTAGTCATGGGGGCAGGGGAGATGGTCTGTTGAGGTGTTCCTGGTGCTTCAGAGGAGAATTGCAAAATGTCTCATCCCCACTTCCAGGTGATATTTAATACACGTGTTACTGTTGGGAATGTTGTCTCCATGTCACGGCATGATGGGAGTCACCTGAGGGGTGAAGCTGAATTTCTGGATGCATCAGTGTGGAAAATTGAGAAAAGAAACTGCCTGAGCACATGAGCTGTCAAACCATTCGATCCTGGAGCCAATCACATCCAGCCTTCTTGTTTCATTAGGTTGTGATTTTCCTCATTGTTTGGTCAGCCTAGGTTGTCTCTCTCCCCTCTCTGCTGAAATAGTCACACATAAAAATCTAGAGGCATTAAGAGAAATAAGTAGCTAATTTTAAAATTAGAACAAGTCCCAAGTGAAGTCAAAGTTACCATGTGGTTAATAACGTGTAGGCAGGAGACATGGCTGGATAATAAGCGTGTGCTCCTGTCAATTTCTTCGATATTAGGAAAATATTTTCTATGTCCCTTACATAATATTCCCATTTTGACCCTTGACTTAACATTAATTCTTGATGAGTAACACCTAAATAATAAAGTGGTAGTTATTAACCAATAATTTATATTACTAGTACAAACTTTCATTTAAAATATATCCCTATACTTGATGTAAAATCAGCCCAAAAAGCAGAAGTTATTGCACTTAATTAAATTAAATACAGATGTTTTACAGTGATGCATAATTGTAAAATATGCGGCAGGCAATGGAGGATTTTAAATCTTCAGGAAGCTCCGTGAAAATGAACAACAAGAAAACACAATTGAAAGTAATTCCTGTATTCTAGAGACCTGACATAGAAATGGAATACAAACAAAGAAGAAAACAAATACAAACAAAGAAAAAAATAAAAATCCAGTATGGAAACTAGAATAACGCTATGTTGCATCACGGCCAGCAGGAAGCACTGGCTGTGATGGGGATGCAGAGACGGCACAGGCGAGGGGAGGGTCTGCGAGGGCTTCCCCAGGCCAGGAGTGCACCGAGAAACACGGCTGTCGGCATCACCGGTTCTGAAAAACACGCTGAAACTCACAATATGCATGTTTTGATGCATAAGTAAAAACAGGATGGCATTGGCATTAACAGAGAGAGAGCTCAGAAATAAAAGGATATGTCAATGGCAAACCGATTTTCAGTATGTGAGCCAACAATATAAAATGTACAAATCAAGATCTCCTCCTAAGAGGGTGTTAGAAAAACTGGATCTACACATACAAAGAATTAAGAATTTTAGTTTAGAATGAACTCAAAAATCACATCTATATGGGTTAAATAGTTAAACATATGGCTTGCAATTGTAACATTTCCCCCACCCAGAAAATAATATTAAGAACGATTTCCTGTATTTCAAATTGAAGGCACAGAAAACAAAGGCAGAAGTGAACAGGTGGAACTGCATCACAAAAGAAAGATTCCACAAACCATGGAAACAATTCCAGCCTACAGAATGGGAGAACGTAATCGCATGCCTTGAATCTGAAAATGTGTCAAAAATCCAAAAAACTCATTAGTAAAATCATAACTGCCTGATTGTGAAGTGGTCAGTTTTACACCTTAACAAACTTAAGAACATAGATCTCATGTTAAAGATTTTTCCCTCTGGGTAGTGGTAAGTGTTATGGTACACTTGGTAAGGGTAGACTTTGTAATTATTCAATCCAACACTAATATAGGTTGTGTTAGCCGGGCAAGGCGGCTCCCAGCAGTTTGGGAGGCTGAGGCGGGTGGATCACCTGAGGTCAACAATTTGACATCAGCTTGACCAATATGGTGAAGCCCTGTCTCTATTAAAAACACAAAAATTAGCTGGATGTGGTGGCGTCCACCTGTAGTCCCAGCTACTCAGGAAGCTGAGACAGGAGAATTGATTTAACCTGGGAGGTGGAGGTTTCAGTGAGCCAAGATCACACCATTGCACTGTAGCCTGGGTGACAGAGTGAGACTCCATCTCTCTCTCTCTCTCTCTCTCTCTCCCCATATATATATGTATATGTACTACATATGTATTATATATACATATTATATATGATGTTGTGAATGTATTTAATAGATGTTATTAAAACTGTTATCAGCTGACTATAGGTTAGGTAGTTTGCCATTGATAAAATTAATTTGTGGGCCTGACTCCATCAGAGCAGAACTGGAGAAAATGAAATTCCATGGTGATTCAGCAG